TTATAAAACCCTAAGTGAGGCCTTATTAAAATTTTTTTTAATAGAGCCAAAATAATCTTGATGCAACATGGTATATGTCATTATGGAGACCTGGCTTCACTGTTCTCCTGTAGGGGCAGAGAGGTTAGAAGACTGAGAGGAATCGAATGCAAAAGCTTCTTTAAGAAAGTATCCTTTGCGTTAAGGCTGTCACCTGAGGCGAAGCAACATCAGTAAGGAGAGTAGGACTCCAGGTAGAAAGTAGGGAGCAATCTATGAGAAGGTCATGGCCGCCTCAGGAAACTGCTTGGGATTTTTAGCGTGCTAAAGTAGTTCTGGAGAAATAGGCCGGAGGGGACCTTGGGTTAGTTAGGTTATGTGAGGTAATGGGATTTGAGCTATACCTAAAATCCCAGGAAATCACTTTGAAAATGACCTCACAAACTTCATTTGTTTCTCTAAAAAAAATATACTGGTGTCGGCTCAGTGCTGATTGTCTTTTCTTTTCAATCGAACTAATACTTAGTATTTGGCAAATATCCTGCTATATAGTTCAGATTTCTAGCTTCTACTGATTAAAAATTTTGAGGTTCTGTATTTCCACACATGTAACCCCCAGAGATAGGGTACACACTGCTGTTTGCCTTATTCCTTGTTTCTTGAGGCTGGCTGTCAGTTGCCAATTCTTTTTTTTCCCCCTGCCTTTGGTCCTGCTTGTAGGAGTTGTTCTGAGGTTGAATGAGAAAATGCACCTTACATCCTTACAGCATGCCTGACACCATAATCTCAGTGTAAGGAAGCCGTTCATTTTGCTGTAATGTGAACATATGGTATACAAGGCTACATATACTAATATTGTGTTAGTGTGTGGTGTTAGCACTTTTGTGCAGAAGCACATGGAGCTGAGGTTTGGCTCTGCACCCAGCATCAGGACAGATGCAGTAAAAGGATAGCAAAAGTGCAAGGCATTCCCTGGAGGAAGGGGGAAGGTCTCAGTTTATTTTCTTCTCACATGGTAAGGATCTCATTGGGTAATCTACCAGTATAGATAAAATCATTTTTCTCTAGTGCCAATAGTGTGAGATGAAGGAAAAAAGAATACAGCAAAGACTGGTATCGCTGGGCATGTTGACACATGCCTGTAATCCCAACTGCTCAGGAGGCTGAAATAGAAAGATTTTGAGTTCAGGGCCTAGGTGACTTAGTGAGACCCTGTTTCAATAGAAAAAAGCAGGGCGGTGAGGGGTGATTGCCTGTGGGTTCTGTCCCCAGTCTCACACACAATAGAGGATGGACATTCTTATGCAAGTGGCCCCAGAGAGGCTGACATTAGACATGACCACCTGTGCTTAAGATTGGCATGTCAGCAGAGCAACCTGTGGAAAAACCTAAATTTTTACTAACCACAAAAACAGAGTATTCGTTGGGAGAAATAATAGTCATCAGTTAATTAGCCTATTATTTTTTGTTGACCTTAGCATTTAACTTCAGATCTCATCTAGGTTCCCTTTAAGAAGAAGCTGATAAAAGCAAAAGTCCTTCATTCTAGAAAAATGAAGAAGGTAAAGTACGTATTTTAGGCTTTGTGGAGCAAATGCCCTCTGTTTCATCTTTTCCTTTCATCCTGCGGTCTTCTCTGTAGATGGCCATGGCATCCCTGTGGGCACAAATAAATGGTTGTAGCAGTGTCTTAATAAAACTTGATGTTCACAGACAGCAGCCGCCACATATGACATGTGGGCGATAGAATGTGACCCTGGGTGTAGCTCAGCTAGATTGGAGCGGTAATCAGCAAATACTCACTCACCCTTGCCTCTTCTTTCATGGAATATGCACCCATATGCACCCCGGGACATGCTGTGGCCAAGTTAATGTGAGTAGATGTGATCCATGCAGAGCTTTTGAATGCATCATCTTTTGAATGTGGTCTAGTTTGTGCTCTTGCCATTTCCCCAGACAAGAACATGCCCTAGGTGTCCTGGCCCAAGGAGGCTGACAAACAGGGCAGAACTGCTCAACCGAGCCCCACCTAGGTCTAGTGAATTTTCACCCACTTGTAGACCCGTGAGCTTGAAAATCAATGTAGACTGTAAGCCACTGAGGTTTGATTAGTTTGTTAACGCAACATCATTATAGAAAGAGCTGGCTGGTATTTTAGTGCAAAGGAGGATAGTTTACCCCTGGACATTAAACAATTAAGACATCAGCCTCTTTTTCCAAAACCAAAGCAACAAAGGAGAATTCTCGTTTTCTTACCCAAATGTTTTTCTTTATAATTTTCCACCTCATTTTTCACTCCCTGTTCTTCCCCCATAGTTGGAATGAATCCTGAATTGTAGATGAGCTTCCTGTGTGTACAGCTACTCAATATGTAACACTGTCTTTAGAGAGGCAGAGCTTTCTTTAAGCCAAGCCCAGGAAGAATCTGAATATTTCATACTTCTGAAATGACAGTGGATGCATATCCAAGCTTCTCCTCAGAAATGGACACTTGTTCTCTCCTCAGTTCAGCAGAGATTTTGAGAGCCTACTTACTCTGTGCTAGTCTCTGGGTGAGATGCTAGGTGGAGCTCATTCGGTTGATAATTTGCTTTGTTCCTGCTGTCTGCCATGTACTGTGCTTGTCCCTAGTCAGATGCAAGGCCTTCAAGGAGTACGTGGGCTGGCAGAAGAGGCAGCCAAGTAAATGCATGTAAGGTCTGGCATGCCAAGCAGCACTGTAAGTGGTTAGAAAATAAAGGGAAGGGGTGCATTGAATCCTGGGACATCTGTTCAGGACCCTAACAAGATGACATTGGAATTTAGTTCTTTCTGTTCTATATATAGTATGTGCAAAATATGAACATGTAAAAATATGGGAAGGAGAAGAAAAATAGTTTCTGGAGCCAGAGAATAATTATTGTTAACATCTGATACATTTCACAGGTACATTCTTTGGTGCCTTTGGTTTATGTGAGTTGTAATATACTACATGTATGTATTCCCTTTAATGCTAGATTTTTGATCTAGTTATGATTCAACCATTTTCCTAAGCCCTTATAAATACTTCTTACGCATTCATTTTAGTCAGTGTGCTGTGGCTATACCAAGATTTACTTAATTATTCCCCTATTCTTAGATATCCAGGTTGTTTTCCACTTGAATCTATTATACGTATATTATGACAAAGTCTTTTTAATACAACACACACTTGATATTTCTATATGTACAGAAGTGTGAAGCATTTTAAATAAAGTCTGAGAGTGTAGGTCAGTGACAAAGTGCTTACTAGCATGTTTAAGAGCCTGGGTTCAAGCCTCAGTATTGCAGAATTAAAACAGGTGAAATGTTCTCTCTAGAATGGAACCTAGATATTTCTGCAACGATACATTCTTCATTTAGAAAAAGCAACCCAGATAAGTCTTAAGTCAATCTAATAATATTTCAATACTATTTAAAAGTCTAAAATCTTTTTTTTTCTTAAATTCTTTTATTCATACATTTTAGGTATACAGCACAATTACATTTCTCATTGGGAACTTGTACCTTTATATGATGCATCTTGGTTAAAAGTCTAAAATCTTAAATTCAGTAAACTTACGATTTCACTACAGAAATCTCAGCAAATTCACAATTCAAAAAATGTGAAGTATCTTGAATATTTTACCAGTCGACACCCCGTGAAACTACCAACTACCTACAGCAATAAATTATCACTAAGCGAACAGGACATGTTACCACTGCTCAGGTCAGGAGATAGAACTTCCCCAAGTCTCTGAATTCACCCCCACTTCCCTCCGTCTTGCTCCAGGGTAACCGCTAATCTGACCTCTAATGCTGCAGTCAGTTTTTGCTTTGCGTGTAGGTTAGTTAATAATTTCCTTTAAATTTCCAGAAGTAGTATTACTAGACCAAGAGGTATGAATATTTTAAAATACTTTAGTTCATACAATCCAGTTGCTTCTAAAAATATGACATTTTACTACCATAGTAATAAAAGTATGAAAAAGATTTTGTTCCTAAATGTGGAAAGGGAGAGAAAGCATGGTCCAGGGTAAAGATAGACAGACTTCTAGATAGTAAGACCAAATGAGACCATTTTCTTTCAAGAAATCTCAGCAGTCTCTTTCCGAATTCTATTTTAAGCACCTTGAAAATGCTCTTCTCTGTCTGGCCATTCTCACTTATGTGCCAGTAACAAAGGTGAGCATGTTGAACCATGCTCTGGGGTTTAAGACTTCTGGACAACGGTAACTTGTAAATTTGTGCCCACATTTATGGATGCAGAAGAGCACATGTGTTCCACAGAGCCAGGGAGCTCCTGCAGGAAGGGAAACTGGAATATCTGGCAGACAATCATACTGTCCACTATATTTCTATCAGTGACTTTGCCTCATCTTGGAGAAAATAAAATCTTTTTTTTTTTTTTTTTTAGTATAGAAGCACTTCCTGGCCTTGGAGGAACCTGCATCTCACACGGGACTGTAACTTCTGTAATTACCAGTCGGGTGGTTGCACAGCAGTGGACTTTCTGGGGTGTAACTGCTTCTAAGAAGAGGCTTAGAAAATGGTTGTTTATTAAGAGGCTATGGGGAGATGGTAAATTCAGCTTATCAAGTATGTTTGGTGGAAAACAATTCCTCGTTAAGAAACAAGTTATTGCAGCTAGTTCACACATTCTGCTTACATGCTCTGGGAGTGTGTTCAGTACGCTTGTCCTAGTCTATGGGTAAGAACACTTAGAGGGGACTGTGGGAGCTTCCCCAGGAAGCTTGCTCCAGTTTCTCAGGGTCGCCTTTCAGTTGTGCTTAGCACCTTGCCTTCATTCTTCCCTCCCTTCAGTTTGCTTTCTTCTCATTGCTGTTCTTTTCTGAAACACCACTTGTTAGTATAAATTGGGAACAACAAGCATTGTTTCTTACTTCACTTTCTCTTTGTCTTCATCAAGCCATGAATGTCTGGCGAAGACACTGCTATGCAGTGGTGAGAGTGGTGTGGATGAGGTCAGACATAACCTACTGTTTTTCTCTTGTTCCCCACAGGTCTCCTCTCTAGGGATGGTGGAGTTGGAAGAGGCGCCTTTAACCGTCCTCTGGGATGAACCCCCTTCCAGAAGACATGGAGAGCGCTCTCACGGGGAGCCAGAGCTCCCGAGCTTCTCTGCGCGATGTCCATTCCATCAACCCCACCCAGCTCATGGCCAGGATCGAGTCCTATGAAGGAAGGGAGAAGAAAGGCATATCCGATGTCAGGAGGACTTTCTGTTTGTTTGTCACCTTTGACCTCTTATTTGTAACATTATTGTGGATAATAGAGTTAAATGTAAGTTGATTTTTTATGACTTTATAAAAATATTTCCTGAGACAAAAACAACTTTAAAATTATTATTATTTCTGTCTCATTCAGTGAATAGCATCTTCTTCAAATGAGGTACTATTGCCCTTCTATAGCTGATTTAGACCTTTGTTGGTCTTTAATGTTACTGTTTGAAACAAACCTGGTAAATCTGAAGTTCACTTTGTCTTATGTATTGAAATTTGAGTTGCTAGTATTTTGTTGTTGTTGTTGTTCAGTAGGAAGAGTTGACAGACTATAGACTGAGAGACAAATTCAACAGGCCTGTGTTAATAAAGTTTTGTTGGAACACAACCATGCTTATCTGCTTGCATCCTATCTGTAGCTGGTCTTCAGGCTGAGTAATTGTTTGTAGCTGAGAAAGAGCTTTTGATCCAAAAGGCAAAAATAATTATTTCCCAGAGCTTTTCGGAAACACAAAAATATGAAATGCCTCTGGAATATTTTTTTACCTATTACATTGACTTTTTAATTCCCTTGAGATTTTTGCATAGTCTTTTCTTTGCAGATATTATTTATTCATATTTTATTTCTGTGCTCCTATATTTTATTTCTGTATTCCTAGAGGCATAGAGGATTACACAGTGATGTTACCTGGTAATTGTGTAGATCAGTAGTGTTTAATAGAAGTATAATGGAAAATTCAAAATACAGAAATTTGAACCTTCTCATTGCTACAGAAAGCCCTCTTCCCAGCAAAGGTTTGGGGGTGAGACCCAATTATAAACACAAAATTCATTTACTCATATACATTTCATACACATAGCCTGAAAGGAATTTTGTGTACTGTATTTTTAATGGACCTGCAGCTGGGCCAAGACTCCTCACATGTCAGTTGTGGAAGTTTCTACCTGTGGAGCCATGTTTGTGTTCCAAATATTTTGGATTCTGGAGCATTTCATATTTCAGGTGTTTGGATGAGGGACACTCAAATTGTACCAAAAAGAACTTGAGTGGGAAGGGATTTTGTATGGAACTATATAGTCAGTGTATTTAAGACACCTTGAGCTAGATAAAGATGAATTTAGAATACCAGTTAGGGTTGCACATATGTAATCTAGATATCTCCACTTAAAGGCAATGCAGAGTTAGAGTCCTGAGTGTTCAGGTACAGGAGAAATACTATCTCTGCTGGCAAATCTGAACTGGTGGCATTGGCCACCACTCTCTGTAGAGGAGGAAAAGGCTCTGAGGGTGACAACCTCGCCTTACTGGGACCACATGGGATAATCATTCTTTTAACGTTCTGGCTATTGGGAAATGTCCTTAGTGTGGAGAGACAGCACTGAGAGGAGAGGGCTGGCTGACTTTTAAAACTCCGTGACCTTTCCCTGTTCCCAGGTTTTCAGTTTTGTTCATTTGTAAAGATGTAGGCAGGTGGATCTACAGCCTGTCCCTGCTAATGACACAGAAATTGAAACCTTCCATGACTATAGGACATGAAGTAGTATTTACCACTTTCTCTCTCATAACAAACTATATCCTGCCAAGACAACTTTTATTCTCATTTGGCTGATTAGAGATCCTTATAGAGCTATTCCTTTTTGATTTCTTTGTCCTTTACCTAGTTGTTTGATTAATTGGACTTTGCTTTGCATCTGTATTTGTTCACCAAGACTGTGTTAAAATCGGAAGCTTGAAATTAATGTTACACATCTCATTCGCTGTGACCAGGCTGACCCTGGGCACTCATGATGACAGAGTCTGCCTGGTGCTGCATCAGTGGTTGCCGTGGGTTCCCTAACTTGATTTCTTAAGAAATATTGTTTTCAGCTAGGCCCAGTGGTGCTCACTATAATCCTAGCACTCTGGGAGGCTGAGGCAGGAGGATCCTAAATTCGAGCACACCCCAGGCAACTTCACAACTTAGGGAGACCTTATCTCAAAATAAAAAGGTTGAGGATATAGCTCATTGGGAGGGTTCTGGGTTTAATCCCTAGTACCACAAAAAAAGAAAAAAAATTGTTCTAGTGATTTTATTTGCACAGTTTTGAACTTGATGATTTGACATTCACTTTGATAATAGAATTAATTAGGAAAGAACAGAAAGTTAACTTTGTCAGGGATAATTATAGGTTTAGTCTGTTGTTGATTCCTTATCCAAGTGACATATTTAAATTGATAAGAATGCAGAATTTTAAAATGTCATTAGTGAATAAAGACAATGAACCACTTCTGTCCTTGTGTCATGCCAGCTGCCCTCCTTCATAGATATCTGGTCTGGATTAGGGAACCCTGGCTTTGCAAAATGTAAATAAAGCTGGCGCATGAGCAGAAACACAAATTTGTGTGATTGAAAACTACCTTATTTTATGTAACATGTTAATTCGCCAAAATATGAACTGCATCATTTTTCATTATACATTTATATCTATTCTATGAGTGCATGAAAGCACTGAGAAAGTTAGACATGCTATTCAACCCTTTTCTGTTAAAATTGAGATCTTTTTCTTCCAGATGTGAACATTTGTAGGTTCTGAGGAGGTGGGCAGGGAAGTCTATAGGAAACCTTATTCTTGTTTCATTTTCTCATGTAAATCTCTCCTCTTTGCCCCTTCCTCTCCTTCCTAGGTGAATGGAGGCATTGAGAACACGTTGGAGAAGGAAGTGGTGCAGTATGACTACTACTCTTCTTACTTTGATATATTCGTAAGTATTTTAAATTTTACATCTCACTTCAGATCTGAAGAAATTGAAACCAAAAGGCAGAGTTCCTCTGAAGGACTCAGATTCAGTGCCAGGCTGTTCCCTTGAATGCTCACCTTATTTCTTTTTCTCAGAGTTGTCCTCCCACTAACCACCCACCCCACCTCAGGAATTGTGTGATGTTGCCGAGGAAGAAAAAGGCATTCAGGAGATAAGGGAGGCCCAGGAAAGAACTGTTCCCTGCACTGGCTGGTGCAGTAGAACTCACTGGCTGAAGTAGAACTCACTGACATGTTCTAGTCATAGGGAGCAAGAGTCACCTGTATTTATGATTTTGTGAGGTAAATGCTGTTCCTTTTTGGTAGCGTCTACTTGTGATCATAGAAAATTCACATGAAATCCAACTTGGGTGGTTTGACCTCAGGATCTGGCCCAGGGGCCCCCCATGCTGATCCAGGCATCAGTGCCCATTGGTGGCTGTGTCCACTCAAATCAGAGTGATGGAGATGGTCTGGCAAGTTCAGAAAGCTGAGTCACTTTTGTTTTGCATGTATTTCAAATAACTTGTCTTTGTTTTCTTATTGCTTCCCTCAGCTCTTGGCAGTTTTCCGGTTTAAAGTGCTGATCCTTGCGTATGCTGTGTGCAGACTGCGCCACTGGTGGGCAGTAGCGGTGAGTGGGGGTGAGCGTGGTCTCCACAGGGCTGGTGGCCATGCTCCTTGGCCTGGCCCGGGTCCCCTTCGTCCCTCTCTTCAGGCTTGGGATCCTGCTTCTTTTTAGTGCGAACCACTGGCTAGCTTGGTCTCCAGGATGCTGAGCCACATGAGGAATCGAGAGACCCTGTGGAAGTTACTGGCCAAGTAGCCACCCAGCCTCCACCTCCTTCATAGACAAGAGCTGAGAGCAGTACCTCAGTCACAGAGACATCCTGAGATTCCTTGCTTGCTTGAACCTGCTGAGTGGCTTTTTCACCATTTGGTCTATATTACTTTGATTATCAGTGCCCCTGCCCTGATCTCAGGGGAAACACTTCTGTGGTCCTTTAACTTTTGCCTCTGGCTTCTTGAGGGCAGTGATACTTCAGCTTATCTCTTTTCATGCATACAGTGCAGAGCTGGGGCACATTCTATTCACCCTCATTAAATACTAAGATTGAAAGACTTACAAGCAAGTCTGCCTGAATTAATTGGGCTTTTTAAAGGCCCCCATGCAACATATGTGAGACAGGGAATGTGGAGCTCTTGAGTACTGAGTCCCCCGGGATGGGGGCTGTGCTGCTCTCAGAAGGCAGAGTCCACGAGGGTTGCGTGTGCCTGAGCCGTCTCCTCTGAGCATCCCCAGCTCACAGGGGAAGCCGCGCCCTCTGCTAATGTGGAAGCTGTTATTCCAGGGGCTTGGCCGACAGTCTGGGTAGACTTGACTCTCTTTCTTGAGTCCTCTTCTGCTGATGTCACAGTAGCTGTGCAGATCATGTCTTCCCAGTTTTCTACAACGATCTGCATTTTGGACATTCCATTCCAGAGTCCATGATGTAGACTGATGTCTGTCAGGCCTTGCCTCAGTGTTTGTTTTAGAGAAGAGGTTGACATGGAAGTTTTCAGAGTTACAAGAAAATATCTTTAGTGTGCCTCCAAATTGTTTGAAGGATAGATCTGATGTAGCAAATCCATTGTATGTCTGTTGATTCTTTTTTTTCTGATACCGGAGATTGAACTCAGGACCTTGCGCTTGCAAAGCAGGTGTGTTGCCACTGAGCTGAATCCCCAGCTGTTGATTTTTGTTTTAAAGCCACTTTCAGAGAGAGTCTAGGAAGAAGTCAGCTGGTTCCTGAGAGCACTTAGTGTCAGCATGGAAAGTGAATTAGTGTCAGGATGTGAGACGCTTTCTGTCCTTAGCAGACATAAAATTTAAGATACTTCAAATATATCAAAATGAGAAGAATAGTAGTTGGCCCAGTGTGTGTGTGTATGCATGCACATGCGCATGTGTGTGTTTACTTAAAACTTACACGCCTTACTCTCCACTCTGTCAGTCATGTCTGCAATGGGCATTGACTTTGGTCAGGTTTTGCCGAGTGAAAATACCAGTGGAAGAGGGAATGACAGAGCTTGAGTCCTGTAGGTTTCTCTTTGGGCTTTCTAACCCCCTAGGGAGAGCCCTGTCTTCACACTTCCGGGCACCCTTCCTCTGTGTGCTTGTAGTGTTAGGATCCTGTACCTCCTGATTCGTCAAGGTTCTAACACATCGGCCTCCAAAGTGTGGTGAAGGACTATCAGAGGCACTCATCCTGAGGCAGGGACAGAGACAGACAGTGGTGCAAAGCCAGGCGGGGCCCAGGTGTTTGAGACATTATCTGTTCCTGCCTCCATTGGGTCCCTGGAGTGCAGGAGGGGTCTTCGCAGTGTGAAACATCTAATCTGAGTGACAGTACACTATGTGTCTTGCAGTTGACGACAGCAGTGACCAGTGCCTTTCTACTAGTGAAGGTGATCCTCTCAAAGGTATGGCCCCCCTGCCCTGCACCATCTCCCAGAGCAGCGAAGACACCTCGGTTTCCAGTGAGAGCTGGTGGTGACCGCCTTCCCTGTCTGTCACTTCTGTCCCCCAGCTTTTCTCCCAAGGGGCATTTGGCTATGTGCTGCCCATCATTTCATTCATCCTTGCATGGATTGAGACATGGTTCTTGGATTTCAAAGTGTTACCTCAAGAAGCAGAAGAAGAGAACAGTAAGTGTCTGGCACAGTCGGCCTCCTGGGACTGGCTGGGTGTTAAGTGGAAGGAGGGGTGTGGCTTCCGGAAGTGAGCCAGCTGCTGGTGGGCAGAGCGAGGCAGTCACCACAGTGGCAGAGTGAGAGAAGGGCTGGGGGGGTGCGAGGATGAGAGGACCATGGCAAGAAGCAGCTCCTCCTCCTGCCAGGTGGGCTGGGCTTCCCAAGAGGAGTCTGGAGGCTGCTCATGGAAAAAAGAGTTCCCCTCAGAGGTGATTAGTAATTGGACCATTAACCCTCACAGGACACCAAGCTTTGGGTGCATTTCACAGAACTGCTGTTTCCAGGCAGTGAAAACACAGCCCATTTAAGTATGGCAAAGTAGCAGTTTTAGATACCAGGCAGCGGCTATGCAAAGTGTCCTAACTGTGCACACAGCAGGTGGGGGCTTGGGACAGGCCATAATGAAACACTTAACCCGCCTACAGCTGGGACTGTAGTGAGGAAGTTGGAGTTCAAAGGAAGAGCCCAGCCAGAGCAGCACTCAGCCTTCTCAGCCCTCCACTGTCCTCTTCTGGGTGGTAGAGTGACAGCTCCACCAAGTTCTGCCAAGGCTGCCATCACCTCCCCGCTTGGCTTTGGGTAACCAGAATGAACCAGGAAAGCCAAGTGATGGATCGAGCTGCATGGATAATTCCTGGGCTGGGTTTCTTCTCCACATAGTGCCTTAGTAGATGCCACAGGCCCACCCCCCACCTTCAGAGATGAATGATCCCAGCTCGGCTCAGATGCCTGTGCACTGCCCACCTGGGTACCCTTTCCCATTTCCTGGCTCTTATTTCCCTCCCTCATAAGATGAAATCTTGTATCTTGTAGAAAGCTAAGCATGTTTATAGCTTCAGAAAAAAACTGGACCAGAAATTTCTTTGCATGTAGTTTTATTTTAGAAGAATCTCTTCTACAGAAGAGAAATCTGTAAGAAAAGAAGCATAATTCAAGAGTAGGTCTTAAAAACATGTTATCAGTTCAAGAAGTTTCTACTAACCTGTGCCCTCTTTTCCTTTATGAAAGAGTAATGGGGAAAAGGCACAGCTAAAGCTGACAGAAGTCTCTTTATTATACATGATCATCTGGCTGAACTCTTTATTCACAGCATATTAACTGTTAGTATGACTACAGTTTGAATGGTTATATATTAAACAAAATTCACAGTGGTTAATAAAGCAGAATACAACTCATGAAAATCTTAAAAACAGCATAGACTGTGGTCATCAGTAGCTGACACGCACATCTGCTTCCTTGCTCTGTATTGTAGCTCGACTCAGCCTTTGACCAAGGACTCCAGTGTTGATGGCCTTGCTTATAAGGTGTGAGTTTTCTGGGACTTCCCCCTCTTTTGGGGGGGCTTTTTGATACCCTTTTTTTAACATAAATATTTCTTCATCACTTTCATTGTTCTTTATATTTTTATAAGGGCCACCGAGATATCTCATGACATCTGGCATTTCTCTAACCAGACGCAGACTGGCCAGCCTTTGTATGAGCTGGACAGTTGTGCGTTTTGCCCTGTGTTTTGGTTTTGAGGCTGGTGTTGTTATTTGTCGGGGGATTGGAATTCCTAAGGGAAGGATACTATAAATAGTGAGTTTAGGAATCCCAGCATTACATGTACTAATTTTTAAACTACTAAGTTATCATTGTAGCTTATTAATGAAACCTTTGTTTTTCGGTTGAAAGATATTTGGTCTACTTTTTTTTCCTAAGACTGTCTTTAAAGTAATAATAACAGCATTTTCTTTAACCTTGCTGAGAAGATAGCAGCAACTGAGACACATGCAGCATTTTCATTGCTTCCCTTTCAGGACTCCGGATTGTTCAGGATGCATCAGAGAGGGCTGCCCTCATACCCGCGGGTCTTTCAGATGGTCAGTTTTATTCCCCTCCTGAATCTGAAGCAGGTAAACATTATGATTACTGTTTGTGGTTTTGTCCACCATTTAAAACCTCTATACTTTCTGGCTCTCCCTCTCCCTTGTGTTTCTCAGTCCACTTGGCAACCATTTCAAATACTGAGTTATGAAGAAATGGGAGGGGGTGATCAAAATATAGTACTCTTAAATTTAATGCTTAAATTAAAATGTGTTACAGGAAAAGAAACATTGCCATTAGTTCCCCTCAAAATATTTTCCCATACTTACAATACATTTATTCCTGTCATCATTCTTACCACTTTCTGAGGCAGTTCTGGAAGTCCTCTTTTGTGAGTGTCTTTAATGTCTTTACAGGTGTGATCAAAGTATCAGTGAATGCCACTATCGAGTGCCATCTAGTGTGAAGGGATGCACATAACAACATTGCAGCCAGCATGTTTTTACCCACCTTACTGTGAGGTATCATTGTGGACATGAGGAGAGAGAGGCACAGAGAACAGGAGCAGTCACCCCAAATCCCACACACGATCAGTGTGGAGCTCGGGTTGGAGCCCCGGCTCCCGTGCAGGAGCCCCAATCATAGTTGCTGGTGTCTCCCAGCCTTTGTCTGTATTTATGGAAGTGCAGAGTTGATCATGCCCTTCCCCCAGCCAAGCCTTCTGTGGCACAAAAGACTCAGAAATAAACAGACCCTCAGCCTGGCAGAAGATGCCTCTCTGACCTCTCTTACCCAGTTGCTCACCTCCTGGTAGCTGCTCTCTTCTGTTATGTTCCTAGTTTTTCTGAAAATGCTGTGCTCTAAAGCCTTCAACCAGTTTGCATTTGGCTGTTTCTATTCTGAACATCGTGTTTCCAGTGCGCAGTGCCATGTTGCAAAGGCTTCTCTCCACCCTTGCCTGCTCGCCTCATGGCAGTCTTGGTTAGTCTGTCCTTGCATGGTATGGGGCCCTCTTCCACGGCACTGCTTCCTGTACTTCCTGCACTGCCCTCAGCAGTGACCTGGTCTGTTTCTACCACTGGGAAGTCACCTTGGGCTAGAGACTGTGCCATGTATTCCCATAATTATACCCAAAGAGTATTTTAAACACACATACTATCATAAAACAGAGTCCTGTTTTATTCACAGGGCAGAAAGAGCCCTGTGAATGATGGAAGGTACAGCACTGTGAAATATCAGTATGTTAGAGGAGTTTGAAGAAACTTCTATCTTGGACTTTAATGTGGAGTCTCATATATAAAACCACAGGCCATGTGGAGTACAGATGTGGACTACCAGAAAATCTTTTTCAGACAGTAGAAATTAGGTGATGTGCTAACCTTTTCACCAACTTATTTTATTCAAATATCATAGCACTCATACTTTAAAAAGAAAGTTCTCAATTTCTTTTCTAAGACTAACCCAACTTTTTACCTGTTTTTTTTTTCCTGTGAATAATACAGTTTCTCAGGAATGATCAATATTCTTTTTTTTTTTTTTTTTTGACACTGGGGATTGAATTTGGGTCCTTGTGCTTGCGCACCAGGCAGTGAAACCACTGAGCTAAATCCCCGGCCCATGATCAGTATTCTTAATTAGAATTAGAACCCCAGATCTGCAGGCTAAGGATAAGATGAGAAATTCCATCCACAGCAGTCCTTCCCCATCCAGCTTTCTCCTTCCGATCCCTTGGCTTCTGTCTGTGATGTTTGCCACCACCTAGTGGTCCTCTGGGGCATCGCCATCTCATTTGGTTGTGAGCTAAGCAGGAACAAGACACTTTCCCAGTGTTCCACTGGGTGGCTACTTTGCCTAAGACAAATGCAGATTAGTAGTGGTGGGCAGAGAAGGACTGCTCAAGGACCACTCTGTTATATCATGTTTGCATACCTGAATGTTCAGTTTCAACAAGAATTAAAATCGAAAATTATTGTTGGATTCATGTGTCTAGACCAGAGGACTCCTGTGGAGCATACATTTCTCATCATGCCAAGCAGCTAGATGTCGCTCTTTAGTCCCAGAAATTATGAGCTGCTGTTGCCCAGACCCTGCCCTGCCTGACCACTTGGCACAAGGACATCTGCCAGGCCTAGGCAGCCGTTTTTCTCTTGTTTTCCCCAGCACCACATACAGTACCTGGCACAAGGAGGACTTAAAACTGCTGAAGGGGTAGATGAAAAGAAGAGAGGAAAAGTGGAAGGCATCATAAATAAAAATACTAGCATTTTCTCTTCGGTGTTGTATTTGAGAAATTAGGAAAGGAGCATATTTTAGTAGGTGGACAGTATATGTTGAAAGACTATAAAGGTACTTGTTTGCAGGCTGCTTCTTGATCTTCTAGTGCCCTGTAAGCCTGTGTATGAAAAGGGCAGCAGGAGGAAGCACTATCCTTTGGGATGAGTGGAGTGACACTGGCATGTGTGGTCTGAGAGCTCTTGGGAACCCAGTGTGAGCCGAGGCAAGGGCAGTTCCTCACCTCCTACCTCAGGGAGACTGGCTGACACCAAGAAAGAGCTCAACTGCCTAATAGCATCTGTTCTTAGCAAGTCTAGGTAAAGGCATTAGCGTGCAGTTCAGTGCCCAGCCAGAGCGAGTGTACCTACTGGTCTGTCTGTGCCGGGCTTGCTTTATTCCTGTCACCTATGAGATTATTGTTAGAACTATTTTATCTCTCAGGAGAGTTTTTGATTAGATTAGTAATTATGTGATCACTGTTTAAAAGTGGAATAGATTTAAAACACAGATTTTATTCACCTTGTGGCTAAAATTTTGAGAAGTAGTTACTGATTACCAGAGTTAATGACAACTGTTTTTAAAATAACTATTGAGTTAATGGCTTCTATCTTTATAAATTTGTGCTTTTGGACATTTTATAATTTTTGTATTCAGTTTCTTTTGCTTAGCATGAAGTTTGATGTGTGGCACATATCAGTGGTTTGTTCCTTTCTATATTTGGATACTTTTCCATAGTATGAACATACAACATATTATTTACTAATTGTTAAACATAGGAATTATTATGAATAACCTTGCCTGTGAGCATTGTCATGTATTTGTGTGGATATATTTTTTTATTTTTCTTGGGTGGACTTCTAAGAACAGTTTGCTGGCTCATATGATGTTTCTCTTTAACTTAAAAAAAAAAATTCCTAACCTGTTCTTCGAAAAATGACTGGACTCTTACATTTCCTCCAGTTGGTTTCACTTTTTGGTGTCCTCCCAACGGTTGGTGCTCTTTTTGATTATAGCTCCTCCTACAGGGCATCTCACCATGTTTTAACTTGACAGCGGCATCTTTGTCATATTCCTTCTACATGTTACTCATTAAATCTTCTTTGGAGAAGAGTGTGTTTGAATATACTCCTCATTTGTTGTCTTGTTTTCTTATTAAGTTGAATGAATTCTGTATGCACTGAAGATAAAACAGCTTTTTCAGGTACGTGATTGCAGATGTTTACCCCAGTCTGTAGTTTCTCTTCATTTCTTTATATGGTCTTTTGAAATACAGGTTTTAAATGTTGATTAAGTCCAGTTTATGAATTTATTCTTTCATAGCTCGTATACAAGGTCATATCTAAACTGCACATCATTAAAATTTTCTCCTGTGTTTTGTCTCCAAGGTTTCATGGTTTTTCTTTTGTTATTTAAGTTCATGGTGTATAATGAATTAATTTTCGTATTTTGGCAAGATAGGGACTAAATTCATTCTCTTGCTTTTGGACTCTCTGTTGTCCTAGCAGCTGTAGGTAAAAGACAACTCCCCCGACTGAGCCAACTTGGCACATTAGTTAAAAATCAGTTGGCCATAAATGGACCTGTTTTTAATTTTATCATTTTCTTGATTACTATGGATTGGGTTTTGCTGACTCTACTTTTGAAAAGGAGATTGTTTTTACATAGTTGATTTGAAGTCTTCTTTTTCTGATACAGTTATCAAAAGGTATTATTTTTCCTGTAGACCTTCCTTTGATGACAGCTCATCAATTTTGATACGTTGTAGTTTCATTTTCATTTGTTCCTTGGTTTTCAGCAGCTCGGTGATGATATATGTGTGGATACTTTGTATATGTTTAATTTCTTGTTCTTTTAACATGAGTTATGTAGATAAATATGTCTCAAAAATTCAAAGATTTGGGGAAATTTTGGCTATTAGTTCTTTAACCATTTCGCTGATTTATTTTCTTCCATGACTCCCAATCCAGGTATATTGGTCTGCTTGGGTTAGCTCACAGCTCTCTGTATTCTATTCATGTTACCTTCAGTCTTTTTGTCTCCATGTGTCAGGTTGCATTATTTCTATCAGTCTCTCTTCAAGTGCACAGGTTCTTCTGCCTTCTTCAATGTTGTCTTGACTTTTTCTTGCAAATACTTTAATATACTCATTCTTTTTCACTCCAGAATTTCTTTTCTAAAATTTTAGTTTGCTATAGTAATTTTTTTCCTTCTTTTGAATTGCTGTATTTGCATAGAGAGTTGTATACTTTGATTTTACTGTCTATATTACTTATACCCTCCTTTTAAAACTGGAATTTAAAAAACACTAAGTTACTGTAGGTTTATTCCAAACATTTTGTAACAGCCTCAAAAATATGTAAAAGTCTCATTATTATCTTCTACTCTTTCTCAGTTGCACATGTTTGCTTTCTTAATTTTGTCAAGTGTAATCTTATGATATGCAAAGTTTTATTTATGTATTCATTTATTACATATTTACCTTGCTGTAGTGCAAATGCATTTTTCCATGTTGTGGTATGCTGCACATGACCATGATTTTACAGGGTTGTAACATATTTCATGGCAATGTACTTATTTAGCCTTTCTTACATTCCCAGACAGTTACATTCATTTTGTTTTCTAATTGGGACTAAGAAAGATATGCATAATTAATGAAAAGCATTACTTTCTCAGGATAGGTTGTAAGGAAAGATTTCCAGAGGCGGTTGATTCTGGGATGTCTGGGTCAAGTGTAAGTGTGCTGCGGGGCTCAGGTCTCTCTGATGGGGAATGGCTGCTTGGTGATCACTGGCCGCAGCCAGAAGGTGAACGTCTGGCTCTGCCCTCCCTGCTCTCAGTGCACTGATTAAATCTGTTGTACCAAAGCTCATCATTTGGACTTAAAAATACAAGCATGTGTCAGCAAAGAGACCGAGGAAGAATAAAAATACTAATTCATGTTAAATGAATATTTTCAGTAGTATGTAAGTGAAATCCGTTTTGCCAAGTTAGTATAAATGATAATGTGAAATGTTTTCTTCCCACAAGAAATAAATAACATATTAAGAGGGCAGCTGGTTAACTTGAACCCTTGAGGATTAAACAGACGTGGTTTCATTTAAAATTACACTTGTGTATATTATAATTCAGCAGCTTATGACAGCGATGGAATGAGACCTTTATCTCCCTTTTTCTGCCCCGCCACACAGGATCTGAAGAAGAAGCTGAAGAAAAACAGGACAGTGAGAAAGCACTTTTAGATCTCTGACTTCTGCTTTGTAAAAGTAAGTGAAAATGAAACCATCAACCATGTGGTTAGAAAAGGAGCATTTTCTCTGAGCAGATCGACAGTAAACTTCAAAGACTATGAGTATAAGGAGAGAGCCAGATGTGTCATAATGACATAAATTCAATAACAGCCTTTTATTAATGTCAAATTTCTTAGAAGTTTTTTCTACAGAGAAATAACATCAGTAGGGTTTGAAAAATACTCCAGAGTCCCAAGTCTGCAAAGAATAAGGAGGAATACATTTTGTTAACTTAGTCAGAATGCCATGGCCAGACACTATTTCTGTTTGAAACATTAACCTGTTGGTGCTGTAGGGACAGCAGTCCTGTGAGATGTAGGGACTGCTATTAGCTCTGTGTCCCATGGAGGGAGCCCAGATGGCGTGGGTAACACAGGTCAGTGTGGGGAGCCAGACTCGAACTCACCCACTGTCTGTGGCACCAGGAGCACTGCAGGCCTCCCTGGATACTCCCCACCTGTGAGGAGCTACTGAGCTGTCCATTGGAAGCTCTAAGGTGGAATGGTGCTAAATCCCTCAGACTATCAAAGCAAATCATTTCAGTCTCACAAAAATAGTTAAATATTTTCTAAAATGCTTAAAAATAAAATCATGCACGGCCACACCAGTGTCCTCTATGTGTCTCCTGTGTTACAGTCCATCCTCAGTATGGAGGTTTTCATACAGGTGTAAGGCAGCGTGACTCTGCCTCTCAGTGTTTTGTCTTCACTCTCTTTCCAAGCGGGAAGAGCCCTCACTGAAAGTCATCTGAGAGAAAAGATGGACATGGGTCTCCTTCTTCGAAGTTGAAATGGTGGCTTTGTGGAACAGCTAATGAAGGATTTAATTATGGTGATACCTCACGGACATTGTCCCATATGCACACTGCTCAGTCGCCTGCCTGTGGCCCTCAGGTCATGTTGTAATCTTCCTCTGTCCAGTGAGATCAAGTCAGACCGTTCAGGAATAATTGAAGGAAAGTTTTGTGCTGTATCAGAATCAAAAGACTTGGTAATAGATTGAAATAACACTTTTGTAGTCAGTGAAACAGCTTTTTATTTCAATTCACAAAATGGAATTTTTTGGTTTCATGTCTCAGATTTCTTTTGTATTTCTTTTTTTAACACCCTCCGTTTCCCTTGTGTTTTCTAACTCACGCACATGTGCTCTTTGTACAATTAAAAATAAATAAAATCCAACATATCAAAGTGACTGGCTGTTTTACTCTGGTGATGTTTAGTGTTTGGTCCATAGTGTTGGGGGGATCGAGGGGGGTTAAGACAAGGAATGTATTCATACTTTCTGTATTTGTATCATGAAATTATCTCTTTCTCTGAGATAGGGTTTTTAAATAGTCTATATACTTTTATTTGAAATCCATTAAAGGACTATGAAACTATTGCTATCAATTCTCCATCCTGTTTAGCTAGTTTGAATTAAAATGAATTGAATAATATCAGGAGCTACTTTTTCATACATAAATATTCACTTTACTGCTCTCATGGGAGCAGTAGATCTGTCAGTTTTCCATCTCCTATCATCATGTTAGTCAAGTAAAACTTACTTCACGTCATCTTGATGCTGCTGATGTGGGTGGAACCTGTGCCTTCATACAGATCCCCGTCCCCAGCTGTGCTTGTCCTGAGTGGCCAGACCTCAGCAGCAGGGCTGGGAAGGTCAGGGAGGCTGGGGTCTGCCCAGGGCGAGCTGGTGAGGAAACTCTGTAGGGTCTGCACTGGGGCTAAGGCCTGAGGACCTCAGTGGCATCATCTCAAGATAGTTGCCTGTCTCAGGAGTGGCATAGATACACACAGCGCACAGATGAGACCTAACCTTGAAGCCAGGACATCAGTTTAACTCCTGTAAGGCACTCCCCACACATGGTGGGCTGAGGCAGTAGAATGTGGCCAGTCAGTAGGATGTGGCCAGTCAGTAGGATGTGGCCAGTCCTCTTAGAAAGAATCCAAGGTTGGATCAGAAGTTGGCTCTGTGAGCACGGACAGAGGAGAAAGAAGTGTCTGACTTGAATGTGCCACAAAGTCAGACTGTGAACCTTTGAAATGATTATCTCTGTGCTGGTTATGCCTCCCCTGAGACTGGCAGGCTTGAGCCCAGAGTCCCGGTCTCTTACTCTGTACCAGGCCCAGGCAATGTACATGTGGGGTAGTAGCTTTTTTATGCTTATATTGGTGAACAAGCTTCATCTAACTGACCCCAATCATGCATTTACCTGATGTTACTGACCTCTGTTAAGCTTTGCTTAAGTTGACTCAAATCATTTTGTCCCTGTAGAGGGACCTCAGGCTATTCAGTATCTGACTTTCAGTTACACATTAAAACTCAGGGCTTCTGTATCTAGGCTTCTAGAGCATATCGCCTTTGGCCACCTGTATGTCCACCTATCCTAATGGACACAGGTCATGTGCCACTGTCTCTACTGAGAAAATTAAAAAGTACTAGCATCTATAAATCTAACACCTTGGAAAGGCACAGATATTTTGTGGAATGTTCTGGATGATCTTGAGGTGCAGACTGCTCCTTCCTCCAGTGCAGGGTCAGGGCAGTGACAGAAGGAGCAGTGTCTATACAGTCCTGGCCACCAGATTCCCAACTCACAGCAGCTAATGCATTTCCTGTGTCCTATGCAGGGCACGAGGGCAACCACAGCATGGAGAGGAAGGTTGGTGGCAGTCACACGTGTGAAGTTGGATAGTTTCTTTGCATTCCTTAGCTGTGACCTTTGAAAGTGAGCTAGTTTGGCTGTGGTTTAACTGCCCTCAGTTTCCTTTCTGACACCCTCACCAGACCTTGCACTGCCCCAACCAGTAAGGGCCGGTTTGCCTTTGAGCCTCTTCCAAGAATCAACCACATCTGACAGAATACGGAAACAGAACAGGACTGAGAACACAGAGCCCCATCAGCCACACCAGCACTTCCTGTCACCCAGTGTCCCCTCCTCCCCAGGGCTCTACTCTGTGCTGCTGAAGTTCAGGGATCTCAATTATAGTTGATGTCTGTGGAGTCTGGCTGTTTGTTTCTAAATGGAAACTTCTGCCTGGTTTCTAACAAAAATAATTTCACTGAAACTGTGAACAAACAAAACCATTTCTATTTTAACTAAGTTGTTAATTATATAAAACCTTTTAACTTTGTAAGGATTCATTGAAGGAAAATATACTTGGAAATTTTCTTTACCCACCTACAGTATATTGAATATTTTGTTTCATATCTTGATCAGCAAAGACACAGGAAACATGTGAATTAGCCAAAAAAAAAAAATCAAAAGATATGAACAAATGCTTCAAAGATAGAGAAAAAGAAATTAAAACTACAATAAGATACTATTTTCACCTGTCAGATCAGCATATTCTTGAGGTTTGACAGCCCATTCTTGGGGTCAAAATGTGACTATACAGAGAGCAAGTTGGCATTCCCATTAAAATAACCAATGCCATGTTCAAAATTACATGTATTTTTTCTCTATATATTAGGAAAATAATAGAAATAAATCAGGGGTCTATTACAGGGAACTGATGAAACACCGTATTTTTTATTCAGTGAAATACCTGTGGCTTCTTAAATGTACTGACATATAAAAGCTCTAGGATTTATAAATGAAGAGAGGTATGCAAAATAATGAATAGTAATGCTACCTTTCAGCAAGAAAATGAAATGAGCATATATAAACATATATGTGTACATCCATAATTACAGATTCAAAACATTTTGATTATTTGAACCATGTGAGTGTATCATCTAACAGTTATGCAAGTTCATGCTGTGCATAATAGGTTTCAATACCATGTCCTGATCATTTTACAAAGATTTTACATTGTTTTGAAGATACATACTGATTTTGTGGCATCCTTTATTATTCTCTTCTTGGACATTTGGGTGAATTTGCAGCTGTTGTATGTGGTACTACAGTGAATGCACATCTTCACATGTACATTTCAGAACATGCACACTGCTTCCTGAGTGAGCTGATGGCTTAGACTCTCTCAGCCCTGTCCATGTGGAGCGAGTCCCATGCCTGGGCAGTGTACCCTGCCTGTGATGGCTCCTGATGACTTGCCATCTGAAGCAGCTGTGCTGGAGATCAGCTGGTCTTTCAGTCACGAGCAGGCCTGTGATAAGGTCCATGCTTCTCTGACTCTAGGCTCCCGGAAGGAGACTAGGAACCACTGGTAGAATGGATTGAGCAGCAAGTCTTAAGCTAGACAATCTAGAATCACGTGGATTCTGGGACTTGTTCCTTATGTAACATAGCCTGTATTTAATACTATAGCTCACTTGTTGTATATTATTGGTCATATTCACTATTGGGATTTACTCTGTTTAATATTGGGCATTCTTTTAAAATTAATTTTATTGGTACATTTTAAGTATACAATATAATGACATTCATCATTGGAAATCTGTACCTTTATGTAATCTATCTTGGTTCTTTTTTTTTTTAAATTTGGTTCTTATTTTTCCCCACTCCCCTGTCCTCCCTTCAATCCCTCCACCCCTCCCTATTTTCAAAGACTTTGTTTCCATTTTTAAATTTTCTCATATTAATTCCATTCTCTTCTTTCCTTTCCCCTACCCCTCCCACTTCCCCTTCCCCTTTGCCCCTTTTCTTCCTATTTCACATTATCTATTATACCTTTTAGTCCTTATTGGAGATTTTTCTGTGTTTAACAAGTCTCTGAGACCTGGTTATCTTAGGGAAATAATCCTCTTGGAGGATCATAGATTGCTAAGTTCTATTCCAACCCAGCCATCCTCCCTGCACAGAAGTAAGAATGGAGAGCATTGTTGGTGCTTTTGCATGTATGTCAGTGTGGGATTCACTATATCTCTACAGTAGCATGGAGCACATACCAATGCTGTTAAGGACATTTCTGTACTATGCATGATCAAATCATCTGATCCCCCCAACTCCAGGAGTCATGGCATACTAACTTCATCTCACAGGAAGAAATTGCAACACAGATTTCAAGTATCTGATGTTGTCCAGATCCAATTCTAGACCCAGCATTGAAGCCCAGACCCTCTCGGTCCAGGGTCCATTTGCTTAACTCCTCTGTCACACTGTCCCTACAGGATTAATGCAGATCTCATGAGAACATTGTGAAGATCAGGAAACATGGCGCTATGAAATGGTACTATTCAGCTGAGCACACACTACCATTCCTGCTGCCATGGAGGGCCTCGTACCAACCATACCTGATTGTGTTGACCTTTAAAAGAGCAGTAACATGGGTATCTTCAAGTGGCTATGGCTCTTTGGTGCCACTATAAGAATTAGAAATGTGGTGTTGCTCATTCTCATGCTGTTTCTCACATCGGACTGTCAGTTCCATTTCATCAAATTAAAGTACCCATGACCCAAGGAAGACTTTGGATATTTTTTATTTATTGTGTCTACTATAACCAACAAAGCATAGAGTTCAGTACCACGGAAGGCCATGTCAGAACGGGTAAAGTGAAGGCTTCTGGGTGATGACCCAGTCCACAGGCACTGAAGTCCTGGCCAGAAACAGCAAACTGCACATCAAGGATGTGAGGACCTGGCTGGCTGGAGGGGCTGTGGGGACCATGGAATGGGGCTCAGGGTGCCATGGGCTGCTCCTTTTAGTGACAGAGGAAGCTACACAGTTTGCCCACTGGTTGGGAAACCCTTATGCAATAATGACATAATGTTCATGTGGCCTTTAGGAGCAAAAGCCCAGACAACCCTCAACAGACACTGCTGGGAACAAGAAATGGTGGAGACACTGTGGCCCTGCATGCTTCCATCTGTCAGGTGCTCTTCCCATCACAGCAGACAGGAGACCTTTTGCATAGACAGTAGATGACAAGGCCCCCATGAAGGGTACTCTTGAGGAGCAGCAGGAAGTAGGTGTAGTAGGCAGAGGTGCTGGTGAGCTGCAGGTGCAACAAACCTAAGAGAAATCAGGACATGAGTTTCAGCTGCATGTGTGACAGCACAGGACACAGCATGGGAAGGTGATGACCTGCACTGAGGTGACACCACCCACCATACCCAAAATCAAAGATCAGCATCTAACCCTTTCCCCAGGACCACCAAGGGCAGGATTCAGTTTGCAATTCAACTTGATTAACAACCTAAGCTAAATTAACACTTTTTAAAATATGAAAACATTAAGGCTTCAGTTTTAATAGCATTCAATAGGAGGACAAAGTTTTTATGAAAACTAGGTTGGATTATTTTTGGCCTCAATACATCTATAAGCAGTAATTACAGATAAGTTCATTAACCACTAACCAAATGCCAAATAGTATACTGAGAGCTTTGATGTAAATATTTAAGTCTTATTTAATCTATCTAACCACCTATGGGAGAGAGAAATTGTTTTTATTCCCGTATTGAGAGGGACTGAGGGCACTGTAAGAAGTAATTTGCCTAATGTGATACACTTAATAACTGAGCCCCAAATTTAACCCAGCAATCTGCCACTGAAGATCTTATTCTTACCTATTCTGTGACTCTTCAACTCTAACTACAGTAGAAATACAAGACTGCAAAAGTTTAAGCCTAAGTGAAAGTTGAATTGGTGACTTAGAAACATGTGAGCTATTACACATTGGGCATGCATGCAGTGAGATCTGTAGCAAGGTACTATCCATGAGAATTCAGTGGTGTTCTCAGCAGGACTGGTGGGAGATTATAGAAGAGAGCATTATAAAAAATGTGAGAAAGGGGTCAATCCAAACACTAAGATGCTCAGTGGTGGTGGCACGCTCCCTTTTCTTTTCTGCATAGCTCTCACTGGGGATTTGATATTACTGGGTAATAGCAATTGATGAGTCTTTGAAGTTTTACAAGAAATATATGATGTCAGAAATCAAAGACAATGACAGTGGCCCCACAAAGGTTACTTGAGTCACAAGGCTAAGTCTCTCCTTGGGGAAATTTTCACTTTATGTCATCTATCTTCATAGAGTCAGAACTGCAGTCATGAGCCATCAGTATAGAAAGGGTCCTCAATAAATGTGTTCCTAACCCCCTCCCCTTGGTCAGGCAACAGTTAACCCCTTACTCATTGGCTTGTGTGGCAGCTGAGGTCCAGAGCTCAGTGGACAATAGAATCAGAGGAAAGGCTGGCAGGGAGAAGTCAATGTTTCCAGTTACATTCTCTTGGCATATGTAAGAAGGAAGGGCCAGAAACTAGAAGTTATCCTGAGCTTGCTTAATGGATATCCTGTGCTAGATGTTTCTTAACTGGGCCCTTCTTTCTTCAATAGCTGAGTGTTTGGTGTAATTCCCAACTGGCACCAGTGCAAAGTATGACTCATGAATGACATCACCCCTCCCCCATGTTCCTACAGCTGACCATTAAAAGACCAATCTGCAACCTGTCTGTAGTGCCCACAAGCCCATGCACTTCCCTCCCTGCCACACGTCCATCCTGTTTCAGGGCCTTGGCCTTGGAGTTTCTTGCTCTATGACTCTGACATAGAGGAAGAACACAGAGCGAGTAAGGAAGGATATGAACTCTTCATTTGAGGGCCTGAGTTGAACCTTTAGGTCTAGCTGTGTGGCATGTGAAAAGGACTTAGTTTTATCTCACTCTCTTCATCTGTAACATGGGGTGTAAACTATTGTACCATGAGATAGGAACATTATGAGGATTAACCAAGGAAATCCATACAGAAGACACCCCAAATTCGTATGTATAAAAATACTTGGTACCCAGAAGGAAGCTCCCCTGCCTCCATCCCAGGCTCCTAGGGCAGAGAAGGTGAGCCGGTCCCAGCACCCAGAAGGAAGCTCCCCACCTCCATCCCAGACTCCTAGGGCAGAGAAGCTCAGCCGGTCCCAGCACCGGAAGGAAGCTCCCTGCCTCCATCCCAGGCTCCTAGGGCAGAGAAGCTCAGCTGGTCCCAGCACCTGGAAGGAAGCTCCCCCGCCTCCATCCCAGGCTCCTAGGGCAGAGAAGGTGAGCCGGTCCCAGCACCCAGAAGGAAGCTCCCCACCTCCATCCCAGGCTCCTAGGGCAGAGAAGGTGAGCTGGTCCCAGCACCCGGAAGGAAGCTCCCCACCTCCATCCCAGGCTCCTAGGGCAGAGAAGGTGAGCTGGTCCCAGCACCCGGAAGGAAGCTCCCCCACCGCCATCCCAAGCTCCTAGGGCAGAAGGGAAGCTGAGCTAGTCCCAGAACCCAGAAGGAAGCTCCCCTGATGCCATCCCAAGCTCCTAAGGGCAGAGAAGGTGAGCTGTGTGGGCCCCAGAAGCAACCCCCCCATGGAAATGAGAAAACACATAAACAGCCTCAAAAACAGAGTTCCAGATCACCTGCAGCAACCCCAAAGGGAAATGAGATGGAACAATCTGATACTCAACCACCTGGACTCTCTGAACTGGCAAC